CAGGGAGATGCGGCTGCTGGACGATATCGACCGTGGAGAGAGAGAGAGAGAGAGAGAGAAAGAGAGAGAGAGAGAGAGAAAAAAAAAAAGGAGAAAAGGAGAGCGCCAGGGAACCAGGGAGCGGCTGACGGCCGCAAAGGTTAGTATGAGAATTCCAATACTCTGGGGAGAGGTACGGGTAAGCCCCTGGCTCGCAGACGGTAGCCGTCCGTAAGACGGCGGATCCAAAGAGAGCCAGGGAGCGGCTGACGGCCGCCAAGGTAGCGCGAACTCTGTCCCAGGTGTTGGCCTGGGGGCGCTCGTTGCTCCCAGCCAATGGCCGCATCCGGGTGACCCGGGCGCCTCTGGGCCCAACCTTTGTCCCGATGGCCCTGGGGGGGGCAGCGGTCGTTAGCCTGCTTTGCCGCGCTGGGGCGCTGCCCCCCTCCCGGCTCGTGGCCGTCTGACTGCCAGGGACTGCCAGGCATCCGGCGGGCGGCCAGATGTTCTGGCAACACCCAAGAAGCACCAGAACAACAACAACAACAACAACAACAACAACAACAACAACAACAACAACCACCACCACCACCACCACCACCACCACCACCACCACCACCACCACCACAACAACAACAACAACAACAACAACAATATCAACAACAGCAACAACAACAACAACAACAACAACAACAACAACAACAACAACAACAACAACAACAACAACAGCGGCCCCACTGGTGCCGGGGTTTGTGCCCTCGGCGACGCGCTCCCGTGGCAGTCGTTGTCTGGGGGGTGGCTGTCCAGCGCCTGACCTCGCAGATGACAGTCCTCCGTCCGAGGAACTCCTCCGCGGAGTTGGATGCTGCTGGTGTCCTGGCCCGAGCCACGCCCGTCGGATCATGCCCGGAGCGAATCCATGGCAGCTGGAGCGAGCCGCCAGCGCCCGGGAACAGCATATGGCCGCTCGAGCACTGGAGACTGGAGGTCTAGCTGCAGGGACATACGACTGATAGTCGCCTCGTCCAAATGATGCGAGATGGTGGCTTCAGCCTCGTCTGGAGGGGCGTCGGGGCTGCGAGGGTTCTCCCCATTGCGACTGCTGGACGACGCGCCTTCTGGAAGGACCGCGTAGTCCGAGCTCTGTCTCGGGGAGCCGCCTCTGTCCCAGCTGGTGGCCGCCTGCATCCTTCTGGGGAGGTGGTCGTCAGGGTGGCTGTCTGCCACTTCGGATCCGCTCGAGAGGGAATTGCCAGGGATGCGGCTGACGGCCGCCTGTGCTCCTCTGTCAAGCTGATTGCCAGGGTGGCCATAGGCCTCGTCAACTCCGCGCACGGAGGGAAAGCCAGGGTGACGGCTGACGGCCGTCTGAGCTATTGTAGGCCTCGGTTCACCAGGGATGCGGCTGACGGCCGCCTGAGGTCTTGAAGATCTCTCCCCGTCAGGGTTACGGCTCATAGCCGACAACTCTGATTGTCCCCGCGGCCCAACCTTCCAGAGCCCTGGTGGGGTTACGCGAAGCGTCCAGGAAAGTCCTACCACTCCCCAGCCTCATCAACATCTTTGTCTTCCTCGTCATTATCACCGCACAACCTGCCTGGAGGCGAAGACGAGTCCGCACGTCGCAAGCTACTCTGAATCGCCCCGAGCTTGCTGCAAACCGACGGGCACCGTCTGTCAGCTCGAGGAGAAGTAGAAGCAGCCTGTCTGAGCTGTGAACGCTGGGCTGGGCTCGGCCCAACTCCCAGATCGCAGCCGAGCTCGGAAAAACGGACAAAGTACGTACGGTGACGATTATGCGTGTCTGGCGTGACCTAGTAGCCCGTGTGTGCCTACATTCCAGCTGCACGCGAGACAGGCCAAGCACACGCGAGCAGTGCTACCACGACGTCTCCAACATCGTATGCACTCCTACGGCCCGTCCGCCAACGGACCTCTGGCACGGTGGTAGACTGCCCACAGGCTCTCGGCGGTCCTGGCAGCCGAGCGCGAGAAGACCCCCAGACCCTCGGCTTCTGTGCGCTATCGGCCACTTCTGGGCCCTCTCGCGGGATCGTTCTTTCCTCGAGACCTAAGATCTGAGCCTATGAGGCCACATTGGGTCTCTTACGCCTTCTTGGGGGCCGAGGGGACCCGCTCGAGAGGCACAAATCATCAAGAGAGCAATCGCAAACAGGCCCTAGAAGCTTTGTTTGGAATCAAACTTCTCATCAACACCAAGATGGCCCCAAGAATCCATCCCACCAGGCCCCCTCAAGCTCCCCCCCCAGGCGTTCGCAAGAGACCCCCAAGAGGCCCCCAAGAGGCGCTCAGGAGGAACCCAGGGGGCTCCAAGAGGCCCTCAAGTGCCCCCCGAGAGGCACCGAAGCTGGGAATACTTTGTTGGCTCCGACCGTTCCAAGTAATCCCGTAACCCGCCAAGAGTGAACAGTGGAAGCCAATTTCTGTGCAGCCTCTCGACTATCAGCTGCTGGAGATGCGCTGTGCACTGCAGCATTTTCCCGCGCCGTCCAACCGCAACTCAGAAACGCGACGACGCCAGGCAATCGCAACGAAAATAAGCGCGCGCAGCCCCCGAAAAAAAATGTTGAAACAGAGTACCACGATGACGCGACGAACAATCGCACTGAACAATCGCACTGAACAATCGCAGCCGATCGAGCCCGCCTGTGCAACACGAGCGAAAGTGTAGCATGACGGGGTCCGTGCTAGATGAAATAACTACTTCCATCTGAGAACGAAGTACCAGAAGACGGCTCCACAGCTCCACCATGACCTTTGAGATAAAATTAGAACACTGCTCCACAGCGATCTGCTCTGGCACTGCACGGCCGCCCTGGACGCGGACAAGCGCTGGCAACATAGCAAGGCACTCCTCAGACCCACGTCTGGCGGATTCAGGCTGGGTGGTACGACCGGCCATGCGACCTCAGAGCGGCCAGGCGTGCTGCCGAAGGCGACCTCGGCGGCATGGCCGGCGGGGCTGCCGGCGCCGCGGGCCCGTGCGCCCCACGGCGCAGCTCCCTGGCGGCGGCGCCAGCCCAGCCCCTGGGGATGCCTGCAGCGCTTCCCGCCGCCGGCGCCGCGGCCGCCGCCGGCTCGAGGCAGCCTTCCTCGGCAACCAGGCGCCGCTCCCTCACGCCTACCTCCCAGGGCGAGCACCTCGGCTGCAAGGCAGCCGCGGCCCTCTGCTGCTCCCAGTACGACTCGGAGCGAAGGCGCCTCACGGGGGCAGCTCTCGGCGCCGGCGCCGCAGGCATACTCCTGGCGGTCTGCGGTGCGGGCAGGATGGAGGCCTCCCAGATGGGGTCGAGAGCAAATGGGGTCGGAGAATCCCGCCGCATCGACGACGGTTCACAGATACATCGACGATGCATCGGCTGCGCCGGCGATGGGCGACAACGGCATCGAACCGCGTCACCGATGCATCGGCGACGCGGCGCGATCCACCGACCCCATCTTTGAGCAGGGACCGATCGTCCCGGCATTCCTGTCGGCGCGATCCACCGACCCCATCTTTGAGCAGGGACCGACCGTCCCGGCATTCCTATCGGCCTACCACGACATGCTCATATAATAAGATGATGTTTAAGAACGAATCAGTGTTCTCAGAGCGTAAAACCGAATGACTAAAACAACACTGTCCCCGCCAGAGCTAGTCCGCGCAGATCACAAAGAGCTCTTCGAACATTCTCCCGTGGGCCCTTAGGCAAGTCAGGACGCTTCGCCACTGCTTGCCATCTGCTCCGACCCCATCTGGGAGGCCCAGATCTGCGATGCCAGCAGGAGCGCCTGCTCGAGGAGCACCTTGGGCGTCGCTCAGTGGGGGGCCATACACGGGGGAGGGGAGGGAAATGTGCCCTTCTCGGGCCCTACAGGCCACCGTTGGGGCCCCACACGGCCCCCTCAGGGGCCCCTGCAGGCCCCTTTCCTGCAGCCCCCGCTGCCCCCCATGGACCGCCCCCCCCCCCTTACGCGATGCCCATGGCACCGGCTCCTCGCCGCCCTCCGGCAGCACGGGGGCGCCCCGGCTCCCCTCGCGCGCGTCGGCGCCCGTGGCGCCGCCGAAGTCGAGCAGCTCCGCGGACGGGCACCGCGTGGGGGCCGAGGCGGGGCTCGCGGCCCCGCCCTTCCTGGGCTCGGCGAGGCTCGCCTCGCCGTCTCGGACCATGGCACGAGGGCTGAGCATGCTGGTGTCCTGCTGTTCTGAGAAAAGCGCGTTCCACTGCTCGCAACAGTAGCTACTCGCAGATGGCCTGGATCCGCCGCGGGGAATCTACGATCCACCACGTCGAGGCAAGCAGTTGATTTTTTGTTCGGACGTTGAGAGTAGGCACGATGCGAGTGCAGTCAACCCGTATCATAAGGATGCGCGGTAAGGATGCAAGGGCGTTGGAGGCCCATGTGAACGCTTTTCGAGCGGGTTGGCCAATCAAAGTGGCATAGACCGAGGAAGCAAGGATGCAAGGGTAGCCTTGGGAAGGTTGCCCATCCTTATTATGTGGGCTGACTGCAGTGGAACGCGCTCGGTGAGTTCTGGCTCCCAGACTTCCAACGCACTGAACAGAAACAAGCTGAGATGTTTCGTCGTCTTCCGCTTCTGGGGGGCCCTCGCCGGGTCCCCAGGCCGTCAGCAGAGGGGCTCTCGGGACGCAGAGCTGGCCCCCGGGGAAAGGGTCGGGACTTCCAGGGGCCCTGCAGGGAACAAGAAAAATAAAAAACTGCACCAGCACAAACCTGTGGCGCTCCGCGCGGACGTCCTGGATCTGGGCTGGAACCCCCTCTCTGGCGCGCGGAGCGCGCCAGGGGCGGCGCCAGAGGCGCCGCCAGGGGGCCCCAGCTCGAATACAAGAAATCCGCGCGGAGGGCCAAAAGTGTATGTTTGTGCCAGTTTTCCTCTTGGATGAACCAAAGACAGTGCATCGGATCTCTGGGCTGCTGTTGCTGTGCCGGCGCGCGGGGCCAGTTCGGAGTCCTCCCTCGAAACAAAGCGGCTACGGGTGAGGAGCAGAAAGACGAGGAGGAGGAGGAGAAGGAGGAGGAAAGGGTGAGGAAGATAGGCTGAGACGACCAGTGAGGCAGGGGTGGCGAGCCAGACGCGTGGCTGGCGCCGAGGCGAGAACGTCACTGCAACTGCGTTGAAGAGGGAGAGGTACCACGTCATAGATGATATGTGGAAGAAGCCTCGTGGAAGGGAGGAGGAAGAGTAGGAAGCGAAGTGGGAGGGAGAGAGGGAGAGAGGAGGAGGAGGAGGTCCACTTTCTACGTGGAGGAGATACGCTCGGGCAGCCGCCGTACCCGTGAGACAGCGAGGGAAGAACAGACGGATGAGGACGAGAACGAGCCCCGAGCATCTGGAGGCGACTCTTGGGAGGTCTTCGAGGGAACGATGAGGGTCTCAAAATATCTGGTTGCAGACATATTGAGTCAAATAAGGCTGGAGTAAGCCATGGGTTACGCCAGACTCAGCCGTACAAAACAGGATTAAGCCAGACTGCACCGTTCGATGCCAGTCTGCAATCTAGACCTGTGGGCGGCTGGCGTCTCGTGTCGCTGTTCACGGCGCTCCGTAGATTTCCGTTGGCCAGGATCGGTGAAATGGTGAGTTGACGGTCCCCCAGCCTATACCTAATGCGCCCCACGAAATCGCAGACGAAAAGCGCCACGCTAGGCGCTAAGGACGTCTCGCGGTTCGGCCAGGCCGAAGACTGAAACGAGTCGGGGAGAAGCTTCTGCACAGGGGATCGGGGCGGCCCGAGACCCTAGACGGCCTGGCCAAGCAATGACGCCGACGATACATACTGATTTGTCCTGCGAGAGCGATGAAACGAGAAACTGTGTATCTGACTCGCCTGACTGATGCGGTGCCCTTCGGCTACCGCGTGGAACATGGGGAAACATGAGCTCTAACACGCGAGAATGTCAGGCGCAGCCTTGCCGCCTCACAGTTTCGCCTGAGCCATTGCCAAGTTGAGCATGACCTCTTCGCTTCCACCTCCTGCCAGAGGTCTCAAAGCGATAGTGACCCTTGTGATGTGCCGATGTTCCACCCCCACTATGATATGTAGGTGAGGAGGGAGGAGAACGGGGAGGAGGAGGAGGAGGAGGAGGAGGAGGAGGAGGAGGAGGAGGAGGAGGAGAAGGGGGAGGAGGACCTCCCCATCCTCCCTTCTCCTCCGTCCTGCCGATGGTAGCGGTGGTGGGGAATTTGGCCCACCACCTTGCCATTCGCCAGTGGCCTCGAGGGGAGCCGGCCCCAGACACCGCGGGCTTCTCCTCCTGAGTCGCTTGCTTGGGCACCCCAAGTCCTGCGAACAGCACCGAGAGGCCAGAGATGGAGAGACACAGTAGGGGCTCGACCACAGGAAACCGTCTACCAAAAACCCAACCCTGAGACCCCAGGACGTCCACTGGTTTTGGGTGTGGGAACACCGCGCGCTCTCCATCGCAAAACCATCGAAACCCGAGACACCCAGGGCACAATGGAGGCGAGCAGGGTGTCTCTTGGCATGGGTCTCCACTGTACTGACCCTTTCCATTCGCCACTGGTCCCGTGGGGCACGGGTCCCAGACACCGCGGGCTTCTCCTCCTGAGTCACTTGCTTGGGCGACCCAAGTCCTGTGAAGAGCACTGGATACTCAAGACTCGGCGGCGAGCGAGGAGGGGAAGTGAGAAGGAGAAGGCCTTCTAAGAAGGCGGCAGGACTTATCAGAGGCCCTCGCGCCGTCTGAGAAATTTGCGTCTCTGGGAAAGGCTTAGGAAACTTCTCGGAAAGCGGGGGGGGGACTTCCGAAACTTCTGAGAGGGTCTTCTCCATCTCACTTCCCCCCCTCGCTCGCCGCTGAAAGACCGCTTCCAACCAGCAGCTCTTCCCAGATCCTCGACGCCGTGCTTTTTGTTTCACAACTTCGAGACCCCGAGAGGCCTCGACTCCTCCAGGGCTGGCCTTTCCCTCCAGGATCGTTTCCCCACCCGGCAGGAGCTGGAGCTGCCAGGTTCTACAAAGAGGATCTCCAGGCGCGTTCGCCAGCCACGCGTGACGTGGCCGCCAGGTCCCACGGGCCCCCGACAGTCCCTGAGCATCCCGCGTCGCGTCCTCGACAACCATGTTTACGATGCAAACGTAACATCATATACACCCGAGGGTAAGCCCGAATGAGCGATTTCTGTGACAAGCACATCATGGCATGATTGACAGACCGCTGGGGAGAGACTACCTCTGCGATGTCCCACGAGGGACGCGATCAACACGTGCAGAGGGAACATGTGCAATTGACAGCCGCTAACGATCTCACGGCCCCTACGGCTACCAGCGCCATGCGGGCCGTGCCTGTGGAAGCCTCCGCAGGCTTTCAGGGTCGCGAGGCCCGCGCCTACAGGGAGCCTCGCGTTCCTAGCACTTTGCGAAAACATGTTCTCCCTGCGCACCAATGCCATCTGGCTCTCTATAGGCTCACTTCTGGCGTGTTTGGCCAGCAAGGTGTGCCTCCCTCCTCGTCGCCGTCGTTGCCTCCTCTCATCTCCTCTGTGCCTCATCTCCTCTGCATGGAACCCTTGCTGGCCAGAGGGGCGCATACAGCCGTTTCTTGAAGCATGCCCGCTTGCACCATTTTCTCTGTCTTAGGTTTCTACTGCAAGCATCGTTGAGGCCTGCTTTCCACTTCCGTTTTTGTTGGGGAGAAGGCCCTGCTGCCTTCACAGCTAGATTGCGTGAATCCGCCGCCACGGCCGTCTGTATACAAACGGCTTCGGTGTCCTGCGGAGCTCGACTGGTGTCCGTCTTTCCTATGCACACCCTTGCGTTTCCCCTGGATCTGGTTGACCCAAAAGGGGGTCCAGCGACAAGGAGTGGTGCAACAGATTTGGTGCAATAGATTTGTGGGGTTGCACTATATCTGGGGCGTGCAATACATTCTGGTGCGCAAATGTATTGCTGGATTTTGCGCGTGCAATGCAGTAGCTGCAACACAATGCAATCAAATTCTCCGGCGCAGTAAATTTGCAATACAAGCCCCCCAAATTAATTGCACCACCCCCTTTCAGCTCGACCTCTTTTTGGGTCAAGAGTTGCATAGAAAGGCACGTGGATCGCCAACGGCTGTATCCCTCATTGCGCGTCATCGGGATATGGTGTGTCTTTGGTCGTGTCGGTGCCTCTTGCCTTGGGAGGTGAGGCTTGGCATGCTGGGCAGGTTCCTGGCAATGTTTATCTACGTGGACCCTGCTTGATACAATCCGTCGGGACGGCGAGGCCAAACGATAACGTGCGAGGCGAGCATTGATCCATGTCCACCGCCTGGGAACCGACGTCCTGGTGCCGCACCGGGCGATGGCTATGGATATATTTCGGCCCCTTGGGGCCTGATTATATCCATATCCTCCACCTGCCGAGATCCCCGTGGCCATCCCTGCCCCCGCAGGTGGGGCGGGGACGAGAGAGGGACGGTGCGGCACGGGAGCGCCTGGGCGGGCTCCGCGCTCGTGTGCGGAGTCGTTCCCATGTGAGGCCCAATCGCACGCGCCTCCGGCCTGTGCCAGAAAAGACTGCGCGGAGAGGTTGCCCGCGGCCTGCAGCTGGAACCGGGCTTCGACAACAACCTCTCGCCAATGACAGACAGGAAGAGCCTACGCGAATCACAGACATCAGAGACCATCGCCCAAAACGGGCACACGTCAACACCATACGTACATCCTCGACATGTCATGCAGCAGGCCTGGACAAAGTCGCAACGCTGTTGTCAGACGAACAATCATGAAACTTACAGCTCACGCAATCAGCACGCATGCGGCCTAGTAAGGTTATATACTCTAGCAAGGGCCCCACCCACCCCAGCCGTGGACTGATGCGTGCATCCCCCAAACAGTCGGCCCGTATCATAAGGATGCGCGGTAAGGAGGGACTTGGGCGCCCATTTCGAAACTTTTCGAGCGAGGCGCGGCCAACGAAAGTGGCCAAAGATGGGCCGAAGGAGGAAGGATGCAAGGGTACCATTGGGAAAATTGCCCATCCTTACAATGTGGGTTGACTGTACTCCCTGGGCCGTGCATCCCCCATACCCCGCCGCCGTCCCCTGGGGCCGCGCATCCCTCAGACACCCGGTGAAAACGATGAATCCGCACTCGCAAAACCACGGCTCTCCGACAAAAAAAAACGAACTATGTGTTCGCGTCCCGAGCTTCGAAGACAGCACATGCAGGCAGCCACAGATACCAAGATGGCCCAAGATGCCTCGAAATCGGCCCAAGATGGCCCCATGGCGGCGAATATGTCCTCAAGACGCCCAAGATGCCCCAGTGAGGGCTCAAAAGGGCCACCACAGGACCTCCAAGAGTGTCCGAAGAAGCCAGCATCTGCGATTTCTCTTGACGTTGTTTCTATGGTGTTCGCAATCTCGCTTTGTCGGGCTTCCTTCAGCTCAAGCCTGCCCAAGAAGCCTCCACGGTGGACCCAAGACGGCCCAAATGGTGCCCAAGAGGAGCCTGAGATGGCCCAGGGGGGCCCCACGATGGCCCAAGAGACAACTAAAAAGGTCCCCAAGACGGCCCGAGATGACCTCCCGTGAGACTCGAGATGGGCTGGTAAGGCCCTTCGACGGCCAAAGACGGCGCCGATACAGCCCCACGACCGCCCCCAAACGCCCACGAAAACGGCCAAGGAGGTCCGAAGACGGCCCAAAAGAGTCCCTAGGCCCAAGACGACCTCAAGAGACCCCCTGCCTCACAAGAGACCGAGACAGCCCCAAGACGGCCGAAACGAACTCCACGAGAGATCCTCGAATGGTGAAGACGGAAGGCATCACATGCGGACGGCCTTCCTCTTCCCCCTCCTCCTCCTCCTCTTGCTCCTCGTCATAACCACCAGCACTTACAACAACAACAGCACCATCAGTATCATCAGCATTAGCATCAGCATCATCGTCATCACCAACAACAGCAACAACAGCAAACACAACAACAACAACAACAACAACAAAACCAACAACAACAACAACAACAACAAAGTTGCAAAAGTTCGTGGTGCTTCATGATAGCGTCATAATGATCTGGGTTTCGTCCGTCATCTCCGCGAAAGCGGGCGGGCGGAAACTGACTCCTGTTCCAACCGCGCCGAACCGTCCCCCTTTTTCGAAACTCAGCTGGCTAAGCTCAGCCGGTTAAGACAAGAGCAGTCGAACCAAATATCACCCAAAGACTAAACCATCTGGTTTAAACAAGGAGATGACAAACAACAAACTCGGTATGTTGCGATCCCAGCGCTTAAACCGGAGTTCTACAAATTACTTAGAAATCACACCGGGTGTGATGCTGCCCCTGTGCATGCAAGACGATTGCAGTTCACTCAGTCACGGAACGTCTGGAATGCCGATGTAAACCTCATCGTCCTCATCACGGCTCCCCCAAGCCTGGAAACACGAGCTGTCGCGCGTGACGGCCTCCCGCGCCCCTCGAACGGTCGCCACCCTGAATGCCGGGCTGGCACGGTGGCGGGACTTGTCACCGGCAGCTGGAGAACCCACGTGAGAAAACATGAAAATAATCAGCCACCGTGCCCTGAAGCATGACGTGGAGTGTCCTCGACTCCTTCGAATCCTCCGTCATCAGTGGTGAGGCTCTTTCACGGCGCCCACAGCCTCGAGTTTGGGGCGCTCCCGGGCGTTCCTGTTTTTCTTGGGCGCGGCCGGGCGTTGTCGCAGTCCTGTCTCGAACGCACGAAGCCCCCAAGACGGCCCCAGAGGAATCCAAGAAGCCCTGCAGACAGTCCAAGAGCAGCCCCAGCCACCCGAAGGTCACTCCAAGACGCCCAAGACGGCCTACAGGCGGCGCAAGAGGCCCCCAAGACACTCTAAGGGGGCACCAACAGGCCCCCCAAGAGGGCCGCGAGAGGCCAAAAACACAAATCTCCTCCACGTTTAAAAGAATAGAAGCGCCCTCGCAACATCGACTTTTCGACGCTCTAACACGGCCAAGGATGCCCTACAAATCAACCCAAAACAGCCCAAGATGCCCCCGAGAAGGCCCCCAGAGTGCACAAGAGGATCCCAAGAGAACCTGAGAGGCTCCGGGGACGGCCCAAGAGGAGTAGAGCTTTTACTGCCCGCGAAAGAAAGGTCGCCACCACCTCCCCTTCCCATCCGCTATCCTCTCAAAGCTCCGGATAAGGGCACCCCGCTGTCCATCGAGACCCGCTTCCGAAACTTGATTCTCGATCGAAGCGAGGTCGAGATGGAGCTGGGCCTGGGCGGCGGGCGCTGGACCAGCGCTCCGGAAGCTGGCTGATACCCAGCGATCTGCCCCCCTGTTGGTAGCGATCCCGGGCCAGGCTGAACCCTCCGCACGTTAACAAGTGGGCACCTCGGTTCTGCATCATTTGCGCGGCGCAATGTCGGCGCGCTGGTCGACATCCAAGGTCGCCCGCTCAGGCGCCCCCCCACGCGCGCCCGTGGCGACCCCATGCGGCGCTGGGAGGATGAGCGCTCCTTTCAGGGGGCGGACGCCCTGCCCTATGTGGGCGGGCGCAAGTGCGAGCCGCCGAAGCGGGCTCCACTGGCCGAGCTGCCGAAGCTGGCCCAGGGGCGGCTCGCTGACCAAAACGCTCGCCGGGAGCGCCCCCGAGCTGCTCCCCGCGGCGGGCTCGAAGTGGAAACGCCGAGGTGCCACTGGTTTCTCGTGCCCGCTCCAAGCCGTCGACGCTGCCGCCTGGGACCGCACGGCCGGCCGCGCCCCTGGCGAGACGCTCCGCGGCCTACCGCCGCGGATCCCCTGTCGGGGGTAGAACGCGTCTGGCCTCCGAGGTGCCCGTAGGACAAGCTCTGCAGACGCTGCGCCCTCGAAGGTGGAAGCTAAATTACACGGCGCACGGCGCGCGGCAGGTGGAGCCTGCTCCACAGGGGGACGGGGCCTCCTCACGCCCAGCCGGGCCATTACACTTGAAGCATCAGGTTCGCCGGAGTCGATCAATTCCTCGCGCGCCCGTCTCTCCAGGACAATCTTTGGCGACGTGACGACTGAATTTGCTTCGCCGCCAAAGCGAGGCGCGCGCGCTTCAATGAGGGCGCCCCCGAGCTGCTCGCTGTCATCGCTCATGCTGGTCGTCGGGTAGATCCTCCAGAGGGTGGGCGTCTTCGCGACCGGTATCTGCTCGAGGTCTACGTCGAAGTTATCCGGGCTTGCCGGCGCAACTCATCCGTACTTTACATAAACGGCGGTGCGACCTCCATCGCTTGCAAGAACCGACTCGCTCTGCTCAGCAGCGCGCTCGCATAGCGCGGGGGGAACATGCTTCCTGTAGCCCCTGCAGGACTGGTCGACCACCAAATCTGAGCAGCTGCAGCTGCTGCCTCCTGCGTTCGCCTTCTGGACATTTGGGGCCTTCTTCTCTTCAGTATCGGCCTTCAACGGCACTGAATCGTCAACTTCTAGAATATCGGGCTATAGCTGCCTTCCACAGCCTCGATCCCAGCCGCTGGACCCCTGCGCCCCGGAACCCCCTTAAGCAGTCGTCTGTCGCTGGCCCTGCAAGCCTGCCGCTCGTCCTAATTCAATAGTTCAGGTTGTTCACTTGCTCCTTGTTCCACGGCCTCCCGACATGACTGCGGGAAACCATCCACACTTTCAACGACAACGTCGCCACTCGATCTTGCGCAAGTTCCAGCCACTGCAATCAACTCTCCTGGCTGGTCATCGGCCCCCTCTCTTCTATCGCCGTGATCTTCGACACAAACTTCCACTCGTTCTGGTCCTGCACCCATTCCGGTAGCCTCAACCCTGCCAACCTTCCCATTCCTTGTTCCTGCCATTTGTCAGGTCGCAGTCCAATCTCCACTGGGCTGGGACTCCGCGAACTCGCCACTCGGGCCTGTCCCTTCCGGAAATCGTTCATCAGCCGCCGCTGCGTTTCTGGTAGGTCCCCAGGCGGAAGCAGGCGGAAGCTAACAATTGCTTGTGAGCCTCCGAGCTTCGGTGCTCTCGATCTGGAAGATCGCCGCGGTCTGAACCTCGTGCACTCGGAGAAGGTCGGTGTCCTCGGTGACCAGGACTCGCCAAACGTCCTGGACCCTGCTGCACCTGCCCTCGTGGACTCGTTCAAGGTCGGTTTCTGGGGGTGGGCCACGTCCACGATTCCACCAGCATGCGGCTCCCCACCACGGTGTTGTGGTTCTCGGGTGCAGCCGCCGCTCCCCCAGGGGCAGCTACCTTCTTCTTCTTCGGATATAATTGTCAGCGACATTGCAACGAACATCAGGTCACGTCCCCCGATCGTGGCGTCAGACTTCAAATTCAATGTTACTTCGACTGTGTTGCCTGCGATTGGTTCCTGCAACAGCCCCCAGCTGAATGGGATGAATTGTCCAACAATCCACCGTTTCACTCATAGCGCACCCCTCCCTGAGGAGCCACCGAAGTAGGCTGCAAGGGGCTTCGGGAACAGGCGCTGTTGTAGCCCTTCACACTACCAAACGTCAACGACGATGCCGCTGGTACGATGGACGACCAGTGGTGATAGTCAGTTTCCCTCATGTGCGAAGAGCAAACCAGTCAGGGTTGAGCCAAACATGGCGATGGCTAATGATATGATAGATGGCAATAAGGTGTATCACCACTCCGAGGTTACACCGTCTACATAAGCGTTTCCTTCGCAGCGCCCGTCACAAATGGAGATGTGATGAAGACAGCTGTTCCATATTGCTCTGTTTCACGTCTGAGGCCCCAAGAAGCCAAAAGAGGCCCACTGGAGGCCCCAGCAGTTCACTATGAGGCCCCAGCCCCAGGAAGCCCCCAACAGACCCTTCAGATGCCCCAAAGAGGCTTCCAGGAAGCTCCCACGAAGTCACAAGACGGCCTCAAGGGGCCTCGTTCCCCTTCTCCTCCTCCTCCTCCTCCTCCTCGGCCTCCGCCTCCTTCGTTTCCTCCATCTCATCCTCTTGTCTCTTTCTCTCCCAGGTGTTCCCCAAAGGGATTCCACAACGGCTGGGGCAACACATAGTCCAATAGCTTGGCCTGACTGTGGCCCAAAGTTTGGCCGCATGGACGATTCCGAAAGGTCAGACGTGAGCAAATATGAACCAAATCGCATTCTAGTGACGCGCAAGACGCTCTCCGATAACATGCGTTCGCATCAGCTCCCTGACAGGGATCGCTCCGAGCAGGGTATGTGTCTGCTTGTGGGCAGCGTGAACTCGTCTCCAGGCTTTCTCTGTCTGCTGGCTTCTGCCGCCGCTGTGCGCCCCTCGCACTCGTGCCACTCGCCTTTACAGTCGGGCTGCTGGCCGTCTCTTCTTCTTTGTGGCCCCTGTATTAATGCTGCACTGGCCGTTTCTCTTCGCACCCTTAGGTGGTCTGCGTTGGGCTTGTCCGTGATAAGTTTCCTCTTCCTGCATCTGTGCGTGTGGCTCCGCTCGCATCGACGCCTGCATGGCCTCATCGGCATGCTCCTCGTACATTCGCTTGTTGCGTGTTGCCAGCATGCGTCAGCTTTCATTCTACCCCCCCCATCTGCAACGTGAGGTAGTAATCGAACTAAGCGCGCCCCGATTAGTACACGCTGCAGTGGTGTCACCCGGCCGCTGGAAGAAAAAGTGTGGCCTTCCAGGGCCCGCCAAGTGACGGACTCTAGAGATCAGAAAGCTGTCAAAAGCCTCCCGTCGTAGGAGGAGGAGGAGGAGAAGGAGGACGAGGGGGAGGAGGAGGAGGAGGAGGAGGAGGAGGAGGAGGAGGAGGAGGAGGAGGAGGAGGAGGAAGAGGAGGAGGAGGAGGAGGAGGAGGAGGAATGAATATTCAAGGCCGGCGGGGGTTGGGGGCTGGGTTGGCTCGAACATGACGGCGACTTGCGGGGGGGCCCGATCCTATAGCCATCACGCGTACCTCGCGGTAGATGCGCTCCACGCGGCTGCCGGCGCCACCTCGGGTGAAGCTCTGGCCCCCGAGGATCTGGCTGGCCTCGCGCGCGCAGAGCTCCATGAGCTTGGATCCCCCGACCTGCAGCAAATCAGAGCGAGGGGTGGGGCCGAGGGGTGGGTTGAGGGAGGAGGAGGGATGGGGGAGATCGGGGGAGGGATGAGCGAATGGGGTGAGCAATCGAGGACTGAGGCTCTGGGGTGATTTGGACCTCCCTGAGCCTCCACAAGCCTCCAGGGACCTCTGGATGTTTCCAAGGAAGGAGGAAGAGGAGGAAGAGGAGGAAGAGGAGGAAGAGGAGGAGGAGGAAGGCGGAGGGGGGAGGGGGCGGGGCAACGAGCCAGGCATAGATCCAGGTCCTGACTGTGGGGCCATTGTGGGCGGGGCGGGGAAGAAGGGCAGAGGCGGAGCGGGAAGGGGCGGCGGTTCATCGCTCTGGATCAAGATGATCTGAGCCCAGGAACCCCAAGGGATCCGAGCTCGCTGCAGGCTTACAGGGTATCTAAACCCGTCTTTGGGGATGAGGTGGTCATCGGCGAAACACTGAGAATGTAGTGCAACTTGCAAGAAATCCGTGCTACCAGAACCCAAGATATGTCCGACAACGGGCCACATTCTTACCGTAAACGGGATGGCCGAAACCTAATGCCAGTGGCCGTGTTGGAGATAGTCCACGGGTGTGATGCCACTGGCCGTAGAGGAGAAGGTCCACGGGCCGGATGTACGGGGAGGATGTGAATCCGAATGCCCAAATATGAAGATTCGGCCATGTCCTGAAAAGCCCTGGGGTTGACACTCGCCAGTAGGCTTTCAACTGAGATGGGACTTCCTGAATCATTGGCCCTGGAATCCCTGACCTCGATGTGCCTCCGCCGTTCCCAACAGGTCGCCCGAATGCTCGTGCCAGAATAGGCGTCCGCGCAAAACACGTTACTCGTTGCGCCCCAAGGCCCCTGAGCAGGGCCACTCTGGCAAAGGCCTCGAGCACAAACCCCGGTGGTCTTGGCGCTCCTGCGGCTGTCCTATTCGCAGTAGGGCTTTAAGCAAAGAGCGTGGGACCTGTATGTGTGTATGTGTGTATGCATGTGTGTATCTGTGTATGTGCGTATGCATGTATGCATGCGTGTATGTATGTGTGTGTATTCGCGAGACGGCAAATGATATTCATTGGCCAATAAGGGCGCCGACCCGGCCAAGACCCTGTGCGACGCTCGGTGTTTGAACCCGGCACCCTGGAGCTGCGGATGGTCGCCGGCCCGAGAAAGAGGGGCAGACCGAGGCAAACATGGGGCCATCTAGTTTGGAATAACTGTCTCAAGGTCTCTGGCTCCCGCGAACGACTCGCTGCCTACTTCCACCAAGACGGTGGTGCAGATCGAGTTAGAGCGTGGGAGCGCGCGGTGAAGGCTTGGGCCGGAAGCTGAAGGCATTCTGGCTGCATTTGGTGATTATTTACTATACGTTTCACCCCTGCTAACGCACCGTCTGGCGCAAGGCGTACTTTACTTGACTTGACTATGTATGTGTATATGTGTATATGTGTACATGTGTATATGTGTGTATGTGTATATGTGTGTATGTGTGTGTATGTGTGTATGTGTCTATGTGTGTATGTGTATGTATGTGTGTGTGCGCCGGACTCCCCCCACTTTTCGGGCTGGGGTCCGTGTCACCATGCACAGCGGGGTTTAGCTTCGATTGGGAGGCTTCTGAGGGCCCATGCCCGAACAGCCCCCCTGGTCGGTGGCCCCCCCCGGTGACGCACCCCAGCAGCGAGAGAGGCAGGACAGCTGGTGCGTTCGGACAGGATGTTCGAGGGGACTCCAGCCGTGGCGCCAAGGGCCCTCAAGGGCGGGCAGCGGTATCTGTGTGTTTTCCTCCGCTGAGAGCTGGGACCCCTGAGGGCTGGCTTCTCCCGACCTTGACGAGCGCCATGTAGCCTCCGAGGTCGGCGTCGGGAACGCCACACTTGACCTGGTAGGCGTAGTTTTCCAGCGAGCGCTGCGTCCCCTCGAGCCCCCGGGCCATCTCCGCGACCTTGTGGCGGATGACCTGATGATCTATGAGCCTCTTGCCGAATGTCTTTCGCCTTCTCGCGAAAGCGATCGAGTCCTCGACGCAGATGCGCGCGAACCGCAGCATCTGCACGGTCAGGACAAAACGCTCGTGGTTGAAGTTGATCATCGTGTACTTGAAGCCCTGTCCCTCCTGCCCGACGAGGTTGCCCGCAGGAACTCGCACGTTGTCGAACTCTATGTAGGTTGTGTTAGATGCCCACCAGCCCTGCGTCTGCATGCGCCGCGTCGTGATCCCAGGCGTGCCTCGCTCGATCACCAGCATGCTCGCGCCCCCACGGCCCTCTGACGCAGCGCCGGTGCGAACCAGCACCGTGAAGAAGTCTGCCTTCATGCCCCCAGTGATCCACTTCTTCGCACCGTTGACGACGTAGAAGTCGCCCTCGCGCACCGCGGTGGTGCTGACGGCAGCCACGTCGGAGCCACCCCCTGGCTCGGTCACGCACAGGCAGCACGCCTTCTCGCCCGTGATGCAGGGCCGAGCCAAGCGCTCCTTCAGCGCCTCGCTGCCGTAGACGAGGACAGGCGGAAGGCCGATATTCGTCGGTACGATGAGGCCTGCGAGCAGCCCGCCCGACCCGCACCGCGCCAGCTCGTCCCAGAGGATGAGGTCGAAGAAGGGGTCCACCTTCACTGCCTCCCAGGATCCGTGCCACGGCCCCTCGCTGCCCTCCGGGGGCGTGCCCCCGAACTCTCTGGGCCACGTGGCGCCGTAGATCCCCGCGGCATAGGCCTTCACGCGGAGCTCCTCCACCGGGATATCGCCAGCCTCGTCCCAGGACTCCGCGAAGGGCGCGAGCTCCCTCTCCTCAGCAGGAAGGAAGAAGGGCCCCGAGGGAAACAGGCCCGTCTTGTTCCTGACCGGCCTCGGGCACCGGAGAGGGCCCGGCCGCAAGATCCCGAGAGCGGCGGCAGATCTCCAGAGCCCTCTCCCTCGGGACCCCTTCCCTGGAGGCTTGGAACTGGGCACCGACATCAACACATGGGGTTGCCTCTACGGGGGGAAGACGATCCCAGATTTGGGTGTCAGTGGTAATCTCTCGGCCACCCAGGAAGCCCAAATATGACCACCGTCACCGAGATTGGTATCCCCATCCCTCGGTGGATGCACACCGCCGATGCGGGTGTTGGTGTCAGCCTCTAGGCCTACGACTTCCGGCCGCACCGATCTCCACGAAGTCCCGGCAGCGCTCCCGCCAACGCTGGTGGTGCTCGTTGTAGAACGGCGAGCGCTGCCCCTGCAGGTGCCCGGGCTCCGCGAACGGGACGTCCGAGCCGAAGCGCAGCGGCTCCATTCGGCGGCGCCGGCGTGCGGCGCAGCGGCCGCGGGGCTCGTGGCGCCCGCTGGCGCTGCGGGTCGCGCGGCCGAGCCAGGGCTCGCGGGACACTGGGCTGCGCGACCACCCGGGGGGCACCGGCGCGGGGCACCCCCGCAGACAAAAAAAAACGCCACGGCTCCATATGGGGGGTCGAAGGCCAGGGGCCCCCATCCGCGAGGCCGTGGATGTGGATGTGCTTCCCGCCCACCAGCGTTATGCTGTTCCCGTCGTGCTGAATGACGAACGAGCAACGTACACACACACACACACACACACTGGAGGGACGTTGGGACGCTGAGAGGCGCACTGGCTATAAGTATGGGTGCGGGTTGTCGGACGTTGGGAGGAGGGACGTACCCATAGGAGGGACGTTGGGAGGAGCACTGGCTACGGGTATGGGCGCGGCTTGTCGGACCCCCGGGGCGCTCCCGTTCCAGCGGGGGCCCCCGTCCGACAATACGCACCCATAGCCCCGGCCGTCCCACCTATGGGTATGGGTGCATGCTGTTCGTTCGTCACTCAAGGACCACATCCCAGAACTCATTCCAAGCACCCAGAAGAGCATCGAAACAGTATGCCCGGCCCGCTAGCGCAGGTCGAGTATCGCCTCCCGGGGCCCGACGCGTGAGCACGCTGCAGTTTCGGTACTCTCTTGGTGATCGAAATTCTTCCTGGCGGTCAGGGCTGAAGCAGGTTGGGATACCACAGCACGAGCGCAGGAGTGTTGCTTTGACTTGCCCGCGCGCGCAGGTGTAAGGCTCGCGTATCGGCCTGCCTGCGCGCCAGGCACAAGGCTTGCGGGTTGGCTTGCCTGCCCGCGCAGGCTGTGGGCTCGTGCGCTGCCTTGCTTGCGATCGCGCAAGCTTGTGCGCTCGCGGGCGCTCCCCAGGCGCTCCCCAGTCGCCTCCAATCGTCCCCTGGCGCACCACGGGCTCCCCAGGCCCAGGAACAGTCAGCATCGGATCGGAGAGCCGGATCGGATCGGAACGTGTACCGCATCGGAGCGCATCGGCTCAGAGTTGGAATCGAATCGAGTCGGGCCGTCCAGAGCCGATGTCGAGCCCGATCGATCGGATCGAAACAATCGGCGGCGAGCCCTTCTCAGAAGGCTCGGGAGTCCCCAGGCCTTCTGAGAGGTTGTCTAAGCCCTCCCCGAAGACACAAAACACCTCTTAGAAGGCCGAGGCCTTCTGTGAAGCCCCGCCGCCTTCTGAGAAGGCCTTCTCCTTCTCAGTTACCCCCCTTTCGGCTACACGCATGAGTGTGCGCGGCTTTTGGGGGCCGCGGGGGGCCCAAACACAAGAGCGCAAGGCGCTACTATCGCATCGCGCTCGGCGATCGGGAGGCCCCGGTGGGCCCGCACCAGAAAGGTCACTCCAGCGAAAGGTCACTCGTACGTCTGGTCTACACTTCCCCCCCCTGCTTGGGGAAACCAAGAGGTACCGAGACCGCTACTCCCCAGACCTCTCCCAAGGTGCGTTCTGACAAGAATTTCGAGGCAAATCCAGCGGTGGCGAGGAGGCCCTCCGAGGAGGCCCAAAAAGGAGAAAGCGAGGCTCAAGGGTAGCGATATTGGTACCTTTTCCTCCTCTGCTTGCTCGCCGCCAAAATCGACCCTGCCCGGCCCGCCTGCGAGAGGGCCACGGCCGCCTCCGCAGCCGCCGCGCCCACGTGCGCCGCCGCCGCGGAGCCCGCCGCTGCAGCCGCCAGCGGAGCCCCGCCCGCGGGGCACCCGCCGCCGGCGGCCCGATGCTCCGCCAGTGTGCTGGCCGAGGCGCCAGCGCACGCCTCTGAGGGGCGATGGCCAAGATCCGACGACGACGTCTCGACGACGCCTCGAGAACGACCAGACGACGATGACGACGCCCAGGACGACGTCTTGACGACGACGACGACGAGGACGACGACGACGACGTGAGCGACGACGACGACGACGATGACGACGACGACGGCGACGACGACGACAACGTCCCGACGACGACTCGACGACGACGCCGATGTCTCGACGTCTCGACGACGACGACGACGACGCCTCGACGATGACGGCGACAAAGACAACGACGCCTCGAATACGACGACGAGGACGACGAGGACGACGTCTCGACGACTCGACGACGACGACGAGGACGACGACGAGGAAGAGGACGACGACCCCGACGACGACGACGACGACGACGACGACGTCTCGACGACGACGACGACGACGACGACGACGACGTCTCGACGATGACGACGTTTCCACGACGACGTCTCGACGATGACGACGTTTCCACGACGACAAGGTCTCGACGACGACAACGAGGACGACGACGACGACGACGACGTCTCGACGATGACGACGACGACGCCAACGACGACGACGTCCCGACGACGACGACGACGACGACGTCTCGACGACGACGACGACGTCTCGACGACGGCTGCCCCGACGACGACGGCGACGACGTCTCGACGACGACAACGAGAACGACAATGATGACGACAACGTGTCGACGACGACGACAACGACGACGGTGGCGGCGGCGGCGGCGGTGGCGGTGGCGGCGGCGCGCGCCCTAAACGCGTGCGAGGGCCCAATCAGGGCCCAACCAGGTCGCTCGACGACGACGACGACGACCCGACGACGACGACGACGACGAGGACGACGACGGCGACGACGACGACGATGTCGCGACGTCTCGACGACGACAACGACGACCACGACGGCGCCTCGACGATGACAAAGACGTCTCGACGACGACGACGACGCTTCGACGACGACAACGACGAGGACCACGGCGACAACGACGACGACCACATCGACGACGTCTCAACGATGACGACGATGACGAAGCCGACGACGTCTCGACGACGACGACGACGACTCAACAACGACGACGACGACGAGGACAACGTCTCGACGACGACGATGACGACGACGCCCCGACGACGACGTCTCGACAACGACGACGACGTCTCGACGACGACGACGACCACAACGACGACGACGACGAGGACGACGACGAGGACGACAAGGACGACGACGACGACAACCACGACGACGACAACGACGTTTCGACGACGACGGCGACGTCACGACGACGACGACGACGTCTCGACGACGGCTGCCCCGACGACGACGGCGACGACGTTTCGACGACGACAACGAGAACGACAACGATGACGACAACGTGTCGACGACGACGACGACGACGTCTCGACGACGACGACGACGGCGACGACGTCTCGACGACGACGACGACTCGAAGACGTCTCGGCGACGACAACAAGATCGACGCCGACGACGTCACGACGTCTGGGCGACGACTACGACGACGCCGACGACGACGTCGACGACCACGTCTCGACGACGTCGGCGACGACGACGACGTGCCGACGACGGCGACGACGACGACGTCTCGACGACGTCTCGATGACGACGACGACGTCTCGACGACGACGAGGACGACGACGCGGACGAAGACGACAACGACGACGACGACGACGACGACGACGGCGACGGCGACGACTTCGACGACGACGACGGCGACGACGACGACGACGACGGCGTCTCGACGACGACGGCAACGAGGACGACGACGACGACGTCTCGACTACGACGACGACGACGACGACGACAATGATGTCCCGACGACGACGACGACAAGGACGACGACGACGTCTCGACAACGACGACGACGAGGACGACGACGCCCCGACGACGACGGCAACGTCTAGACGACGACGCCGCCGACGTCTCGACGACCACGTCTCGACGACGACAACGACGACGACGATGCTTCGACAACGACGACGACGACGACAACGACGACAACCGCGACAACGACGACGGCGACGACAACGACGTTTCGACGACGACGACGACCACGACGACGACGCCGACGAGGACGGCGACGAAGGCGTCTCGGCGACGACGACAACGACGACGACCGACGACGACGACGACGACGACGACGACGACGACGACGACGACGGCGTCTCGACGGCGTCTCCACGACCTGGACAACGACGACGACGACGACGAAGTCTCGACGACGACGACGACGTCACGACGGCGACGACGGCGACGACAAGGATGTCCCGACGACGATGACGACGTCTCGACGACGACGACGACGCCTCGACAACGACGACGACGACGACGTCCCGACGACGACGACGAGGACGCCTCGACGACGACGACGAAGACGACGACCATGTCCCGACGACGACGACGACGACGACGATGCCCCGACAACGACGACGACGAACACGTCGCGACCGCGACAATGACGACGGCCACGACGACGACGACGTCTCGACGACGACGGCGACGACGACCACGACGACGACGACGACGAGGACGACGACGAAAACGTCTCGGCGACGACGAGGACGACGACGACAACGACGACGATGGCTACGTCCCGAGGACAACGACGACGACGACGACGACCACGACGACGACGACGACACGACGACGACGCCTCGACGAGGACGACGACACCTCGGCAACGACGACGACGACGTCCCGACGACGACGACGACGACGACGACGACGAAGGAAAGGGCGACGTCCCGACGTCGACGACGACGACGAGGACGACCACGACAACGACGACGACGACCACGTCTCGACGACGGCGGCGACGACGACGAGGACGACGACGCCGACGTTGCCGACGACGTCGACGCCGACGCCGACGACGACGAAGACTACGTCGACGACGACGACGACGACGATGTCTCGACGACGGCGACGGCGACGTCTCCCCGACGTTTTGACGACGACGAGGACGACGAAATCGACGTCAAACACAATAACGACGACGTTTCGACGACGAGGACGAGGACGACGACCCCGACGACGACGACAAGGACGACGACGACGACGACGACGACGACGACGACGAGAACGACAAGGGCGACGACGACAAAGACGACAACGAGAACGACGAGGACGACGACGCCTCGACGACGACAACGACGACGACGACGTTTCGACAACGACGACGACGACCACGCCTCGACCGTGACAACGACGACGACAACGACACCTCGACGTCTCGACGACGGCGGCCACGACGACGACGACGACGTCTCGACAACGACGACGACGACGACGACGACTCAACGACGACGACGACACGATGAGGACGATGACGCCTCGACGACGACGGCGACGCCTCG